TACAGCTCAGTGTTCTTCAGTGTAGTGGATACACTGTATGCCACTATTGTGTAAGAGACACTTATGGTCTTATAATATAAGTGTGTTGTATTTCAGGGAGACTACCTATATGTTGCGACAGACTGGAGTGTTTTACAGCTCAGTGTTCTTCAGTGTAGTGGATACATGGTATGCTACTATTGTGTAAGAGACACTTATGGTCTTATAATATAAGTGTGTTGTATTTCAGGGAGACTACCTATATATTGCGACCGACTGGAGTGTTTTACAGCTCAGTGTTCTTCAGTGTAGTGGATACACTGTATGCTACTATTGTGTAAGAGACACTTATGGTCTTATAATATAAGTGTGTTGTATTTCAGGGAGACTACCTATATGTTGCGACAGACTGGAGTGTTTTACAGCTCAGTGTTCTTCAGTGTAGTGGATACACTGTATGCCACTATTGTGTAAGAGACACTTATGGTCTTATAATATAAGTGTGTTGTATTTCAGGGAGACTACCTATATGTTGCGACAGACTGGAGTGTTTTACAGCTCAGTGTTCTTCAGTGTAGTGGATACATGGTATGCTACTATTGTGTAAGAGACACTTATGGTCTTATAATATAAGTGTGTTGTATTTCAGGGAGACTACCTATATGTTGCGACAGACTGGAGTGTTTTACAGCTCAGTGTTCTTCAGTGTAGTGGATACACGGTATGCCACTATTGTGTAAGAGACACTTATGGTCTTATAATATAAGTGTGTTGTATTTCAGGGAGACTACCTATATGTTGCGACAGACTGGAGTGTTTTACAGCTCAGTGTTCTTCAGTGTAGTGGATACACTGTATGCCACTATTGTGTAAGAGACACTTATGGTCTTATAATATAAGTGTGTTGTATTTCAGGGAGACTACCTATATGTTGCAACAGACTGGAGTGTTTTACAGCTCAGTGTTCTTCAGTGTAGTGGATACATGGTATGCTACTATTGTGTAAGAGACACTTATGGTCTTATAATATAAGTGTGTTGTATTTCAGGGAGACTACCTATATATTGCGACCGACTGGAGTGTTTTACAGCTCAGTGTTCTTCAGTGTAGTGGATACACTGTATGCTACTATTGTGTAAGAGACACTTATGGTCTTATAATATAAGTGTGTTGTATTTCAGGGAGACTACCTATATGTTGCGACAGAATGGAGTGTTTTACAGCTCAGTGTTCTTCAGTGTAGTGGATACACGGTATGCCACTATTGTGTAAGAGACACTTATGGTCTTATAATATAAGTGTGTTGTATTTCAGGGAGACTACCTATATGTTGCGACCGACTGGAGTGTTTTACAGCTCAGTGTTCTTCAGTGTAGTGGATACACTGTATGTCACTATTGTGTAAGAGACACTTATGGTCTTATAATATAAGTGTGTTGTATTTCAGGGAGACTACCTATATGTTGCGACCGACTGGAGTGTTTTACAGCTCAGTGTTCTTCAGTGTAGTGGATACATGGTATGCCACTATTGTGTAAGAGACACTTATGGTCTTATAATATAAGTGTGTTGTATTTCAGGGAGACTACCTATATGTTGCGACAGACTGGAGTGTTTTACAGCTCAGTGTTCTTCAGTGTAGTGGATACACTGTATGCCACTATTGTGTAAGAGACACTTATGGTCTTATAATATAAGTGTGTTGTATTTCAGGGAGACTACCTATATATTGCGACCGACTGGAGTGTTTTACAGCTCAGTGTTCTTCAGTGTAGTGGATACACTGTATGCCACTATTGTGTAAGAGACACTTATGGTCTTATAATATAAGTGTGTTGTATTTCAGGGAGACTACCTATATGTTGCGACAGACTGGAGTGTTTTACAGCTCAGTGTTCTTCAGTGTAGTGGATACACTGTATGCTACTATTGTGTAAGAGACACTTATGGTCTTATAATATAAGTGTGTTGTATTTCAGGGAGACTACCTATATGTTGCGACCGACTGGAGTGTTACCTATACCTATATACATGGTATGCTACTATTGTGTAAGAGACACTTATGGTCTTATAATATAAGTGTGTTGTATTTCAGGGAGACTACCTATATGTTGCGACAGACTGGAGTGTTTTACAGCTCAGTGTTCTTCAGTGTAGTGGATACACTGTATGCCACTATTGTGTAAGAGACACTTATGGTCTTATAATATAAGTGTGTTGTATTTCAGGGAGACTACCTATATGTTGCGACAGACTGGAGTGTTTTACAGCTCAGTGTTCTTCACTGTAGTGGATACACTGTATGCCACTATTGTGTAAGAGACACTTATGGTCTTATAATATAAGTGTGTTGTATTTCAGGGAGACTACCTATATGTTGCGACAGACTGGAGTGTTTTACAGCTCAGTGTTCTTCAGTGTAGTGGATACACTGTATGCCACTATTGTGTAAGAGACACTTATGGTCTTATAATATAAGTGTGTTGTATTTCAGGGAGACTACCTATATGTTGCGACAGACTGGAGTGTTTTACAGCTCAGTGTTCTTCAGTGTAGTGGATACATGGTATGCTACTATTGTGTAAGAGACACTTATGGTCTTATAATATAAGTGTGTTGTATTTCAGGGAGACTACCTATATGTTGCGACAGACTGGAGTGTTTTACAGCTCAGTGTTCTTCAGTGTAGTGGATACACGGTATGCCACTATTGTGTAAGAGACACTTATGGTCTTATAATATAAGTGTGTTGTATTTCAGGGAGACTACCTATATGTTGCGACAGACTGGAGTGTTTTACAGCTCAGTGTTCTTCAGTGTAGTGGATACACTGTATGCCACTATTGTGTAAGAGACACTTATGGTCTTATAATATAAGTGTGTTGTATTTCAGGGAGACTACCTATATGTTGCGACAGACTGGAGTGTTTTACAGCTCAGTGTTCTTCAGTGTAGTGGATACATGGTATGCTACTATTGTGTAAGAGACACTTATGGTCTTATAATATAAGTGTGTTGTATTTCAGGGAGACTACCTATATATTGCGACCGACTGGAGTGCTTTACAGCTCAGTGTTCTTCAGTGTAGTGGATACACGGTATGCCACTATTGTGTAAGAGACACTTATGGTCTTATAATATAAGTGTGTTGTATTTCAGGGAGACTACCTATATGTTGCGACAGACTGGAGTGTTTTACAGCTCAGTGTTCTTCAGTGTAGTGGATACACGGTATGCCACTATTGTGTAAGAGACACTTATGGTCTTATAATATAAGTGTGTTGTATTTCAGGGAGACTACCTATATGTTGCGACCGACTGGAGTGTTTTACAGCTCAGTGTTCTTCAGTGTAGTGGATACACTGTATGCCACTATTGTGTAAGAGACACTTATGGTCTTATAATATAAGTGTGTTGTATTTCAGGGAGACTACCTATATGTTGCGACAGACTGGAGTGTTTTACAGCTCAGTGTTCTTCAGTGTAGTGGATACACGGTATGCCACTATTGTGTAAGAGACACTTATGGTCTTATAATATAAGTGTGTTGTATTTCAGGGAGACTACCTATATGTTGCGACAGACTGGAGTGTTTTACAGCTCAGTGTTCTTCAGTGTAGTGGATACACGGTATGCCACTATTGTGTAAGAGACACTTATGGTCTTATAATATAAGTGTGTTGTATTTCAGGGAGACTACCTATATGTTGCGACAGACTGGAGTGTTTTACAGCTCAGTGTTCTTCAGTGTAGTGGATACATGGTATGCTACTATTGCGTAAGAGACACTTATGGTCTTATAATATAAGTGTGTTGTATTTCAGGGAGACTACCTATATATTGCGACCGACTGGAGTGTTTTACAGCTCAGTGTTCTTCAGTGTAGTGGATACACTGTATGCCACTATTGTGTAAGAGACACTTATGGTCTTATAATATAAGTGTGTTGTATTTCAGGGAGACTACCTATATGTTGCGACAGACTGGAGTGTTTTACAGCTCAGTGTTCTTCACTGTAGTGGATACACTGTATGCCACTATTGTGTAAGAGACACTTATGGTCTTATAATATAAGTGTGTTGTATTTCAGGGAGACTACCTATATGTTGCGACAGACTGGAGTGTTTTACAGCTCAGTGTTCTTCAGTGTAGTGGATACACTGTATGCCACTATTGTGTAAGAGACACTTATGGTCTTATAATATAAGTGTGTTGTATTTCAGGGAGACTACCTATATATTGCGACCGACTGGAGTGTTTTACAGCTCAGTGTTCTTCAGTGTAGTGGATACACTGTATGCTACTATTGTGTAAGAGACACTTATGGTCTTATAATATAAGTGTGTTGTATTTCAGGGAGACTACCTATATGTTGCGACAGACTGGAGTGTTTTACAGCTCAGTGTTCTTCAGTGTAGTGGATACACTGTATGCCACTATTGTGTAAGAGACACTTATGGTCTTATAATATAAGTGTGTTGTATTTCAGGGAGACTACCTATATGTTGCGACAGACTGGAGTGTTTTACAGCTCAGTGTTCTTCAGTGTAGTGGATACATGGTATGCCACTATTGTGTAAGAGACACTTATGGTCTTATAATATAAGTGTGTTGTATTTCAGGGAGACTACCTATATGTTGCGACAGACTGGAGTGTTTTACAGCTCAGTGTTCTTCAGTGTAGTGGATACATGGTATGCTACTATTGTGTAAGAGACACTTATGGTCTTATAATATAAGTGTGTTGTATTTCAGGGAGACTACCTATATGTTGCGACAGACTGGAGTGTTTTACAGCTCAGTGTTCTTCAGTGTAGTGGATACACTGTATGCCACTATTGTGTAAGAGACACTTATGGTCTTATAATATAAGTGTGTTGTATTTCAGGGAGACTACCTATATGTTGCGACAGACTGGAGTGTTTTACAGCTCAGTGTTCTTCAGTGTAGTGGATACATGGTATGCTACTATTGTGTAAGAGACACTTATGGTCTTATAATATAAGTGTGTTGTATTTCAGGGAGACTACCTATATGTTGCGACAGACTGGAGTGTTTTACAGCTCAGTGTTCTTCAGTGTAGTGGATACACTGTATGCCATTATTGCGTAAGAGACCCACATTGTGGATGGAATCTCAGTACAAATAAATGTGACATATTTGTCAACAGTATTCGGTGAGTTATTTTCAATGTGATGTACAGGGTGTCCCAAGAGTATGGAATCCCATTAGGCAGACATATAACAATGTTTCCAGTATTTGTCATATATCATTTCAGACCTTATCCAAAGTTACATTCATTTGCCAAGTATCGTGGTTCAACTCGCAAATAAAAGAAAATGACAGACATTTCAAAATTTAGTGTTCACACACAGGCATTTTACGTCATAAAGGCTCCTCTGCTAGAGGCGCTGCAACTGGTTGTCCATTTTGCCGGACAAAATTTGTCCAACTTTACGCACAGTTTTCTAGTAGTTAATGATGCCCTTTAAAGTATGTAATAATTTGTAAATAAAGCTTACATGTTTCTGAATTAACATATATTTTTACCTTGTTCAGTTTGAACAATTTGTATTCTCCGAAAACTACTTGGATTTACATCATTTTTTTCGAAATCTTGTGAACTGGTCCGCTATTTTTTTCTCATATTGTAATTTGAATTTTAAAATTCTGCTACGATAAAGACACAATATTTATATTTAGCTCAATCGTGGTTTAAATTGTATAAAGATTTGTCCATAATATTGGGATTTCATTGCAAACATGATAAAAACCACACGTTGTACTTAGACGTCCGCCGGATGTTTATATACTTTGCAGAGGACGTTGCTTTGCACAACAGTGCACCTAGCGGAGAGCTTTTATGACGTAAAATGCCCGTGTGTGGTTTGGCCAAAATTAAGTTAAGTTTTACACCAAAATCATAGTCAGTGTGTCTTCCCTTTACAATGTTAAAAGCAGCAATTCTTTAAGGATATGACCTTAAAAGCGCTTCAAATAGGGATTTGACATTTTGTAATCATCTTTAAACCTTTTGAGGCATTTTAAAAAAGTTTCCTTGGAGTACCTACCTCTATTGTCCTGTTTTTTCCAACTCAGTCTCCATCCTACACAAAGGGAATTGCTGCAGCTTACAGTAGGAGGGCAATGCACTGACTCTTAATTTGGTGTAAAACTGAACTTTAATTTTGGCCAAACACTAAATTTTGAAATGACTGTAACTTTTTCCTATTTGAGAGTTGAACCAGGTAGGGTGACCCCTCACTTGAAATGAATTGCTGATTTGTAATTGTTTCATCCATCTTCCTTTATTTATAAGAATGTTGATGTTAACATGCTCGATCTCATGTACCATATTGATTCCTGTTATTTAGGGGTTATTACCCCCTTGAAAGAGTGTTACACAGAAACATCGTGTTTAATTCATAACAGGATCAAACTTTATGCTATCACTTGGAGGTCTCAATGATCCAACCTTTTTGACAGATAAATGTTTTTATAAGTTTAGGGCATGTTAGTTGTTATTTCCTTAAATAGCTCTAAGACCTGAGAAAAAGTTGACAAAATGATCCACCTTATGAACATGTTAAGTGGTGTTCTTTTGTGTTTAAACTAGTAAGTTGACAAAATGATCCACCTTATGAACATGTTAAGTGGTGTTCTTTTGTGTTTAAACTAGTAAGTTGACAAAATGATCCACCTTATGAACATGTTAAGTGGTGTTCTTTCGTGTTTAAACTAGTAAGTTGACAAAATGATCCACCTTATGAACATGTTAAGTGGTGTTCTTTCGTGTTTAAACTAGTAAGTTGACAAAATGATCCACCTTATGAACATGTTAAGTGGTGTTCTTTTGTGTTTAAACTAGTAAGTTGACAAAATGATCCACCTTATGAACATGTTAAGTGGTGTTCTTTTGTGTTTAAACTAGTAAGTTGACAAAATGATCCACCTTATGAACATGTTAAGTGGTGTTCTTTTGTGTTTAAACTAGTAAGTTGACAAAATGATCCACCTTATGTACATGTTAAGTGGTGTTCTTTTGTGTTTAAACTAGTAAGTTGACAAAATGATCCACCTTATGAACATGTTAAGTGGTGTTCTTTCGTGTTTAAACTAGTAAGTTGACAAAATGATCCACCTTATGTACATGTTAAGTGGTGTTCTTTTGTGTTTAAACTAGTAAGTTGACAAAATGATCCACCTTATGTACATGTTAAGTGGTGTTCTTTTGTGTTTAAACTAGTAAGTTGACAAAATGATCCACCTTATGAACATGTTAAGTGGTGTTCTTTTGTGTTTAAACTAGTAAGTTGACAAAATGATCCACCTTATGAACATGTTAAGTGGTGTTCTTTTGTGTTTAAACTAGTAAGTTGACAAAATGATCCACCTTATGAACATGTTAAGTGGTGTTCTTTTGTGTTTAAACTAGTAAGTTGACAAAATGATCCACCTTATGAACATGTTAAGTGGTGTTCTTTTGTGTTTAAACTAGTAAGTTGACAAAATGATCCACCTTATGTACATGTTAAGTGGTGTTCTTTTGTGTTTAAACTAGTAAGTTGACAAAATGATCCACCTTATGAACATGTTAAGTGGTGTTCTTTTGTGTTTAAACTAGTAAGTTGACAAAATGATCCACCTTATGAACATGTTAAGTGGTGTTCTTTTGTGTTTAAACTAGTAAGTTGACAAAATGATCCACCTTATGTACATGTTAAGTGGTGTTCTTTTGTGTTTAAACTAGTAAGTTGACAAAATGATCCACCTTATGAACATGTTAAGTGGTGTTCTTTTGTGTTTAAACTAGTAAGTTGACAAAATGATCCACCTTATGAACATGTTAAGTGGTGTTCTTTTGTGTTTAAACTAGTAATCCTGAAATTTCACATAGGACTTACAAGCAAGGTTTTTATGTTTGTTTGTTTTTGTATTTGTTTGCAGATCTCTACAGAGTGTTGAAAACCCTGGCGGATCAGTATGTAATCCAACATGTTCAGAAACTAAAAATATTGTCGCAAAAGAGTTTGGCGAATCTCTGCACCTCACAATTGAAAGTTTCTGTATTCCCGAAGGCCCTGTAACATGGTTCTTCACACCTTATGAGGGAACAGATATTCAGATCCAAATTGACAACCTTCAGTACATTCTCACGCAAAAGTCAGGACTTGTAATCATGGGTGTGAATGATGACATGAGGGGTGTGTTCAGTTGTCGTAATAGCGATAACAGCACACTGGCGACATATGAGATAGCACTCCCAGAATGCAATAGTATTGACTGCCAATGGAAGAAGGAGTTTGATCGATGGTGCCAGGAGTTTGATGTCTATCAACGGGAATTCAACACATGGAAAGAGTCTAAGGTAATTTAAAATTTAAGAGATGGTATGGATGATTCTTTATCCACATCTAAATGAGACACATCTATAGATCTCTATCAATCTAATATCATTAATGTTGTTCAAGAGGTCAACTTGCTAATTTATTGACCTCATTCTATCACTTTATACTCTTTACACCACTCTGTAAGAATATAGCACAATTGTTTTGTTAAAAACAGTTATTGAGTATTCAGACTCCAATATTTTGTCTATTTTCAGGATGAGTGTGATACTGACTTTTAAGAAATGGCTTTCTGAGCTGGAGTTTGTGACATCAACTGGAGATCAAAGTGGATTCAAGGAGCAAACATCCTAAAATTCTGTTTCAACTGAATGCATGATATTCAGCAAGTGCATTCTCATAAACAACACTGCCACCATTGGACTATCCCCATAACCTGACACCAGTGGACTTTTCCCATGACCTGGCACCAGTGAACTTGCCCCATGGCCTGACACCAGTGGACTATCCCCATGACTTCACACCAATGGACTATTCCCATGACCTGACACCAGTGGACTATTCCCATGACCTGACACCAGTAGACTTGCCACTGTAAACCTGCATAGTATAAATGCGGCACTTCGCTTGTCACTGGTAGAAAGTCATTAATCACACATCTGGTGTTCTTGCACATGCGTAGTGGTAATAAATCTGTCTTAGAAAATATGGCTGTGGTGTTTGAAGGCTATGTCATGTTGTCTGGTCAGCTTAAAATCTATGATTTCTACCTACATTTCTCTGTTTAAACTTATTACCTAATTATCTTAAAGGGTTCCGATAAGCATCCCATATAAAAACAATATGGCGGCTCCAGCCGAATCAACTGTCTATTTTTAAGAAATAAGGGGAGTTCTGTAAAATCCAGTTTATTGAAATTGTCTTTGAGATAAAGTAATCCGTTTATAATGATTTTGAAAACGTTATCCATGGAGTGATTGCGTTCAAACAGTACATGTACAACAGCCAATATAAATCCTTGTATTAGAACTGCTTTGTTTCATTTGTAGGATATTTCATATGCCAAGCTGTGTGCTATTATGTTATGGGGAAATTTAGATGCCAATTTTTCCTTATTATACACAAATAGAAGATCCTGAAACTTCACCCATAAATTTGGAATTGATTTGTCAAAATAAAAATCAACCTTTTATAAATGTGTGACGATCTATAATAATTACTTATGCTATATAACAGTTAGAGGTGTTGACACAACGACATCGAACCTGTGAACCCTTGAGTATTATTCCGGGATCGGGCCTTTTATACTAAACGGTGAGCAACACCAGAAACGAGCATTCGATTTGCTAAACGATATGCGTCACCCTTTAAGGTATGAAAGACTTGCTGAATCATATTTATTTGGTCATTTATGTTATCATTTTAAAGATGTCAGTTAATTTGAAATAGGTCTTTTCTTCAATTTTGAGTGTACTTTTCCTTCCTATTTTCTATATTTTCCTACTTTTTCACTTCAGAAATTTTTTCACAGTGAGAAACAATGGGGTATTAAGAAACAATATCACTTGAAGAAAAGTGTACATTATTTTGTTTGAAGAAGATATTGGCATTTTAATTGAGTAGGTGTTGGCCAAAATTGATATTTTTAACATTGGTTTGAATAGGCAACTTTGAGCTGTTGCTTGCAGAAAACAAGTGATATATCAAAGGAAAAAAATAATGTAGAAAATTGATTTAGATGAGCAGAAAGAGGAGATTTTTAAGTACAAAACCATCAAAAAATTATAGAATTCAAAAAGTAGAATCAATAGACTAGATGCGAGTAGAAAAGTCTTGATTTACGACATTAAATATTCAAAATTCAGTCAAAGCGATGTTATATTTGAAATCTACATCTAAAAGTACATCTAGAAATATGGTTTCGAAAATTGTTTATCAAGTTTGAAAATTTAATTATTTTTGAAAGTGTGACTTCTAGTTCGGGTTGATTCTCCATAGAGCCCATGTTACAAAATCGCAAAAAGTGAAATATCTTTTCTTATATTGGTCAGATAATATTTTCATTTACTGGACATATTTTGATTTGCATAACTATTCGATACATAAGGGTTATATGAAAATTGAACCACTAAAACAGATGTAATTTAAGTTAAAGGGAACTTTCTACTATACCCGCCATGCTATCTGACCCGAATGAGCCACCTGGTGGTGAAACTGGTAACTACCTACTCGCATCTGCGTTATTAGAAAAGTGACTTTTCATGCAAATGTGTACTAAAATTTTATTTATGTACTTGTGTTTCATTTACAAAAGATAGATACAATGGAATGTGTTAGAATTCGGTTGATTATGATTGGAGTTTGTTAACTTTTTCTACATCTATGAATTACCAATTGATCATTCTTTTTAGTTATTGCAAAAGTTATAGTTTCTAAGTAAGTTTAAACGAGTAATAACATGAAAAGAGATTGCGGTTTAATTAACCAAAAAAGGCTATAGCATTAACTTTCTACAGTGGAAGACTGTTTGACCTACTAGTAAACAAAGCTAAGAACTGGATACAAGGCTAATTAATCAAAACCAGCTTGACAAGCGAACTTCCAGCTCAGGTTTACAGTGTTGCCCCATGGACTGACACCAGTGGACTATCCCCATGACTTGACACCAGTGGACTATCCCATTGACCTGACACCAGTGAACTATTCCCATGCCCTGACACCAGTGGACTAATCCTATGGGGTGACATCAGTGGCCTATTCCAATGACCTGACACCAGTGAACTAGCCCCATGGCCTGACATCAGTGGACTAGTTCCATTACCTGACACAAGTGGACTATCCCCATGACCTGACACAAGTGGACTATCCCCATGACCTGACACCAGTTGACTATCCCCATGACCTCACACCATGCAGTGGACTTACCCCATGGCCTGGCTCAAGTGGATTAATCCCATTGCCTGACACCAGTGGACTAGTCCCATTGCCTGACACTAGTTGACTATTTCCATGAGGTGACACCAGTGGACCAGCCCCAAGGCCTGACACCAGTGGATAACAGTTGAGTTACTGAGAACATTAGCTAGCCACAAGATGTATATGATCTGCTGATATCCTAGCTGCTTTGCTCGGAAATTATCATTATGCAACAATGGACGTCTATCTTATGATGCCATTTTCAGAGATTAAGAGATAGTGGAATGATAATTTATGTTAAAGAGGCCTGATCTGATGTCATCATAATTTATGTTAAAGAGGCCTGATCTGATGTCATGATTTATGTTAAAGAGGCCTGATCCCTGATCTGATGTCATGATAATTTATGTTAAAGAGGCCCAATCTCATGACATGATAATTGATGTTAAAGAGAGCAAATCTGATGTCATGATGATATATGTTAAAAAGGTTTGATCTGATGTCATGATGATTTATGTTAAAGAGGCCCAATCCGATGTCATGATGATCCATGTTAAAAAGGTCTGATCTGATGTATTGATAATTTATGATAAAGAGACCCAATGATATACATGTATGTTAAAGAGGCTCAATCTCATGTCATGATAATTTATGTTAAAGAGCCCTGATCTGATTTCATGATAATTTATGTTATAGAGGCTCAATCTGATGTCATGATAATTTATGTTATAGAGCCCTGATCTGATGTCATGATAATTTATGTTAAAGAGCCCTGATCTGATTTCATGATAATTTATGTTATAGAGGCTCAATCTGATGTCATGATAATTTATGTTAAAAAGCAGTTGTCTGAAGAATCATTGTTTTAAGAAATTCTTATATGTTTATATTACTGAACTCTATTAGATCTGATAAGACAGGGAATCCCAAGTTTCAACCTATTGTGGCACTTAAGTATTGTGACATTCTAGTATTGTTACTCTGTATGAAGTGTGTCACACTTTTTGAATGGTATGTGAAATAAGTATGACCTTCAAACCATAGAAACAGCAAAAACAAACAGTGTAAATAGTGCATGAGAGGAGATGTAATTAATTTATAAAGTAAAATATTTCTAGAGTAGTAATTGACATTTTTTTATGAAATATATATGCAACTTGAGTAGTGTGCACTAAGCATACTGTGCACTAGAAATAATATACACTTAGAATAATGTACACAAGAAAAAATGTGTACTTTAAATAATGTGTACTTAAAATAATTGTACACTAGAAATAATGGGTACTTGAAATAATTTAAATAATTTTACCCATCATATAATTCAATATGGGCTTATGGTACTTTTTTGTGGCTATATCATTGAAGATTCAACACTTTCTATCTTGATTCAGGAGAAATTCTGGTTTTTGATTTTGATTCATTATGAATCCTGGTTTGTTTTGGAATAAATTCTTTTTTGACTTATATCAATTTAGATTAGCCAGGCATCTAATAAACAATACATGACCAGGTTTGTTTCTGAACAAAATCAACTTCTGCAGGTAATCCTATGAATTTTGTACGAAATCAAAGTTTTTAGTGTTGAATATTTGGGTTCATTCATATGATTTGGAAATAGCAGTTTTAATAACGTCAACACTATTCAATGTAATTGAATTAATTGAGCTTATTTGTTTTATAATTAAGAAATACAAAAGCGTGAACTGAAGATTATGTCACCACCACAAGTGGCATTTGGTATCTGCATGGGCTGAAAGCACATGGTATCTGTAACAAATAGCAGGTGGTGACATTTGGCATGTTAATGCCTTGTTATTATATAAATTAATATCTTTCAGTTTTTGAAATTAATCGGTAAGCACTTAAGAATTCCTTTTTGTACTTTATAAAGTTATATCATGAAGTTATAGTGTAAACATACTTAACATTCATGAAATTTAAGTTCACATGTACTTAATACGTATGCATGAAGATATGCTACACATACTGTACTGTACTTTTTTTAATTGCTTCACACACAGGACAGCCAATTTAGTGTTGTTAGAATTCCATATGATTCAAAAAAAGATTGTTGATGATATCTTGATAGCTGTAAATGATTCTCAGGTGGCATAAATTGTTTCACTTATTTATTGTACTAATTTACAATACAGGAAGGATATTAAGAGTATTTTTGGTGTATTCGCTGTTACCATACAGGGTGACCCATAAATGTAACCCATGAATTGTAGTGTTCATCACTTCAATTCATATTGTGGAGACCATGTGAATTTAATATTATGGGAAGTTTAAACCATCGAACTGGAAGGTGACAAATATGTTGAAATCTATGAAAGTTACATGTCTAATTTCAAAAGCATATCACTGTCTGATCCAGGGCAGGGGCCCATGGGGCCCGGCCTCTCCCCCTTTTTGTGGGCCCAGAAAATTTGGCCTTTATCAAAAAATAGGCCTAACATTTTTTTATTTGGGGCCCAAAATTTTTTTATCACTCAAAATTTGGCACTCCCCCTTGTTCGCATCTGGATCTGCCAATGAATATTCCAGATTAGTATCACAGAGTTCATTTCAAGAACTGTGCGTAAAAGGATAAAGAAGTAATTTGCTAATTTGTGAAAAATGGCAAGGAAAAACAAAACCAAAGTGTTTCAACAAATTGATTCTAGAGCATCTCTAAACAGAAAATTATATTTCTTCATTGTGAATTCTTCCTTGTATTTGATTGGATCGCTGTCTTTTAAAACAGGATTCATCAACATTCAATTTGACTGAATATAAAAAGAGGGTTGCATGGTAGGTCACCTTGTAGATTTATTATTTTAGTTTTATTTAATTGCAAATATTTAAAACAATCTTCAAGAATAAAATCATGAAAATAATCTGTATATGAACAAGTATTTGTTACTTTTAATGTGTCCAACATTCAAGTTAGGAAATACAACCTTAACTTGGTATTGGTGAATCAGAACCTGTTCTTCAGTAAGGTCTGAAGGTTAGCCAGTGATTATAAAATTATTCCCATTTGATTATATTTTCAATCTCTATTTTTATGTCATGTTTTTTCTTTTTTTTCTTTTTTGATATCATTCATACATGCTTTAGAAATTCTCTTTATCTTTATTAATTTAAGATAACCTCTTTACCTTCTCATCTAAGGTGGTGCCATTTATGGGGCCCCTTAAAAATGTTGGCCAAATAAATTTTAGGACCAAAAAATTGAATTACAGTTTATTTTTGGCGGTCTCAGTAAATCACCGGCACAATCACCTCGCAGACCTTAAAATCAATGGAAATAAACTTAGGTCCGCCCTTTTCAAAAATTAATCATTGAAACATGTTACTCAGGTACTTGCTCACATATGACACAAAGTTTGATTTGCTTTAATATGGAACCAAGAAAAAAACAACTCACATAGAAAAAAACATTTGAAGTTCAGAGATCGTTAGACATACATGCACATGTTAAACAAAGTCCATGTTTTAAATACTACAGAGTGTCTCAAAAAAAATGTTACACTTACAAAAAGTTCAATATCTTTCAAAATTTTGACTTTCCCCCTAAAATATACTTTGGATACCAAAAGACAAATCTTTCCCGAATAATTTGACACCATCGGATTCAAAATCTGTCCTTGATTGGCTTGACAGGACAGCTTTTAGTGTCCCATGGTAAAATCTGACTTGCGCCAACTTCTAAGTGACTGGATGGACCAAATGACAAAAGAGGAACAGTTTCTTTAACAGTTAACTTTCTTCTGAGCAGAAGCTTGACCTTAAACTGAGTCATTCTGTAATTTTCCTATTTGTCTTACATATGATCATTGTGTCTATCCACATAAAAATGTGGTCCCCCCAACATGTTGAATGTGACAGCAAATCTGAGGTTCTGAGGTACCCTTGCCCATGCGAACATGCATTGTAATATCATACTGATTCCATCAATTATTTTTGTAGAAGTTCATTTAGGTTAGTTTGTGATACTGTAAAGCGCTTTCAGAGGCCCTTCAAAAAATTAAGGGTGTTAAGTGGGATGACCCTGGGGGCCAATCAATTGGGTAATTCAATGCTATCTTCTGATTTCCAAAGAGTTCTTCCAAACGATTTGCCACAGGCCTTTGCACCATCCTGTTGCCATCATACGTAACGAAATTGAACCTTTGACAATGAAATGTTGTATGTCTATCCAGGAAAAAACAATTGAATCATTGATCATATCAAGATATCTCTGTCCACAGCATTCACATCAAAAAAGGATTGACCACCACTTGTCCAACCACTGAGAAATTGGCGCAAATCAGATTTCACATGCGTCTATAAAATCAGTCCTGTGCAGCCAATCATGGACGGATTTTGAATCAGATGGTGTGGATTTATTCAAGAAAGGCTGATCTTTTAGTATCTAAGTATATTTTAGGGGAAAAGTCAAAATCATGAAAGATATTGAACTTTTTGTAAGTGTAACATTTTTTTTGAGACACACTGTATTGATTTAAAAGATGGCAACACTTCTATAAAATGAATGTATCATGTAACAAACAACTGCGCAATCTTTCAATGACATCTGAGACTAATCTATGTTAATCTCAGATGACATTGATAAAATCCTGATATAGCTATAAAGCTTGACAGATCGAAAATATTTTTAATAATTTATTGTAAGCTTTGATATGGTCCTTTTGAGCTGCTGTTGGTGTCAAATGAAAGATAAGGTTCTTATCAATACATTGGACATCGTATGAAATTTAAATGAAAGTCTTCATTTTGCCCAAAAATGTTGAAAATTCCCAAAGTTAGCCTTTAACATTTTTGAAGGTCAAGTATCATTTAAACCATGAAATTTGAATGGCATTGAAGTGTTTTGCAGATTGCCGGTTTCGACAAGGTGACCGATATCATATATTGAGTAATTGGACTTTGGAACACAACTGTTTTCTACTACATACCCACACATGATACAATAAACAGTTGATATTAGGACTGTTCGTGTAGAAGCGTGAAACTGAACTCCAGAAATGTCTGTAGCTGTTTCTGTACTAGGCCTATCGATCATTTGCAATAATTTGATGACCGTTCTAGTGTTTGTGGCGACATTTCTGTTAACATGGTGGTACACTCAGCCTGAAAATGTTACCAAATTACCACCTGGGCCATTTCCTTGGCCAATATTCGGAAACATATTTTCGCTTGCTCCAACTGAAGAGGATAACTCTGGTGCTCAGCGTTTATGGGAAATGACTAGATATTACGGCAGTGACATAATCAGTGTTAAGTTTGGCGCAAAGCGAGCTATTGTTGTCCACAAATACTCTGATATAAAGAGAATCTCCGACGAATTCGTCCACGTGAATAAGGAAGGCGCAAATTCTCTATTCCTACCTGGAATCATTGGAGTTGATGGTCTGAGATGGAAAGAGCAGAGACGATTTGCCCTCTCATTTCTGAGAGACTTTGGTTTTGGAAAAAGCAGAGCACAAGATATCGCTCAAACGGAAATTAAAGCTGCAATAGCTGAGCTTGACAAATCAAGTGGACACCCGTATAACCCCGAGGTTTTGCTTAAAAACATGGTGTCGAACGTCATAGCTGCCTTGGTTTTTGGACATCGATTCGAATACAATGACAAAAGTTATGTTAAATACCTTAATATGGAAGAAGAGATATTGGAATGCTTCCGTTTTGTAATCTACGGCTATCTCGTACCAGCATTCATCAGAGATCGACTACCGAGAGATATGTTTCGTATTAAAGAATTTAAACAAAAACATGCAGAAATGGAAGAAGCAATTTTTCGCAATGAGGTCAGAGATCATATGGCCAACTACACGGCAGGTGCATGCAACGACTATATTGATTATTTTATTAAAACCATGAAGGAACACGAAGGAGTCGAAAAGGAACACTGGTTTAATGGTAAGCGTCTGGGGTTATTTGCCAAGAATAGAATTTGCTAAGAACAGAAGTATTGATATTGTCTTCAGTTTCAATAATGTGTGGTGATCTTGGATTGTGATAACGGTTCCTGGATATACGTAAGATCTAGTTTCTGTAGTTTGGGATATTAGGCTTGAGATGTTCAAATTATCTTTTCGATTTACCTTCAATTACCTTTTTGGAAAGATATTCATTTTTCAATTAAAATACATCAACTATGGTAAAGTCAGCATTTCAGAAAGGAGATTTAATGTACTAAATGCATATTTTTCAAACTAAACTAAAAGATTCACCTCTAATATCGAATTTGAAACAGAACTGTTTCTACACGACTCTCCTCTGAACCTCGTGGTATTCCACTGTCTTGGTGTTATACTTTCACTTATTATATTGTTATTTGCAGAAAGGCAACTGGTGGACAACATTGTCGATTTCTTCAGAGCCGGGACAGATACTTCAGCCGCTACCCTTAGGTTCTTACATTTATTTGTGCAGTGCAGTCATGTATATTTGCAAATGCAAATTTTGAAAGGGAATTTTTAAAAATAAATGGAAGGTTTGCTTCTTATTGTATTATGTCTCATAAGGTAAAACACCTCATATGCACGTCATCATACACGTCAAGGGTCAAGGAACAAACGCCTAATTTCGACGATTTTTTGGCCCAATTGGCCTTTCATCTTAGATTCCAAGTAATGTTCAAGCTAAATGTTGACAATAAGCTTATTAGGGGTCGATCATATATTTTTTGAAACGATTGGTCAACTATGACAATCCACCCTCTCTGTGTCGCTAAAATAGTAATTCACAACATTGAAGCCAAAATCAATACACCAATTTACTCGACATTTTCAGATCACCCACATTTTAATTGGAAGAATGGCACGTTGGCATGTTATCACTTTAAAAATATGACAACTGTACCTATATACACGCTTACGGACTCGTCAACGTTTATATAATTTACTATATTCATTTTTTAAACGACCATATCTACCCAGCGGAAGTGAAGTATGTGAGCAGTCTGACCCTAGTCTCAGTGTTTATCACTCTTAGCGAAATCTTGTTCCTTGGTTAACTAACACCATTTTGGTTTATGTTACATAGATGGGTATTCCTTCGTATGGCTACAAACCCAGAGATTCAGAAACGTGTTAAGGAAGAAATAATGGAAACTATCGGAGCTGACCAACCACCATCAATCCAGGATAAACCCAAAATGCCATTTACAGAAACTACGATTATAGAATGCATGAGATTTCACCCGATTCTTCCATTGATACAAACCAGACACACTCCAGACGAGCCAGTGAAGTTTAAGGTAAATAAGGATATACATGTATTCGCGAATTCCAATGCAATTGACTTATTCCTTTTGGGTTTTTAACTTCCGTTAAAAGTAGGTCAAATTAGGTGTTACGTGGAACAGAATATTAAAGATGTTGTGTACTCTTAAAATCCTAAAACAATCCTTCTTACAAATATGTTTTGCGATATCATTCATTATGTAGGACTTTGTACTTCCACCACGAACTTTGATTGTTGAAAATATCCATGCGTTACACCATGATCCTGATGAATGGGATGAGCCGGACACTTTCAACCCTGAACGCTTCATCGGACCAAATGGAAAGGTGATCAAGGACAATCACATGCTACAGTTTGGAAGTGGTAAGCTTGATAAATTTAAATAGATGTTAAAACAAACATAATGGTTTCATAAGGTGACATGTACAGGGTGTCCCGAAAGTATGCCCCCTCCTTAGGCAGACATATACTAATGTCTCCACAGTATGTGTCAAATACCATTTTAAAGCTTAGTAAAAGTTACATAGATTTGCCAAATATCATGGTTTAACTCACGAATGGGGAAACGTTTCAAGCATTTAAAAAATTTGTGTTTGGGTCAAAATTAAAGTCAGTTTTTCACCAAAATAATAGTCGATTTGTCTCCATAGGACATGACTGTTAACAGTTGCAATGCTTTCCATATATGACCTTCCACACACTTCAAATAGGGATGTGGCACTTTGTAACCCTCATAAAACCTTTTAGGGCATTTTAGAAGAGTTTTCTTGGAGTATATACCCATAACGTCCTCTTTTTAGAACACAACATCCATCCTAGCTTCGACAATAGCATATTTTAAGTCATATTCAGGCCAGGGCTGTTTCCAGGATATATAAATGAACAATACTTTTGGCCAAACACTTTTGAAATGACTCTAATTTTTCCCATTTGTGAGGTGAACCATGATAATTGGCAAATTACTGTAACTTTGGATAAGCTTTAAAATGATATATGGCACATACCATGAAGACATTTGAATATGTCTGCCTAGGGGGGGGGGCATACTTTCGGGGCACCCTGTATGTATATAGAGCACTTTTAATGCTAACTTTTGGTTGGGGTTTTGTGCTTTTGAATCGAGTTTTCATCCACTGTCAATTAATTGTGCCAATTACCTGTCAAACATTTTTAGGTAAACGTGAGTGCCTGGGACAACCACTTGCGAAAATGGTAATCTTCTTGTTCTTGATTGGCATTCTGCAGAAATTTACAATCAAGATATCACATGGGAATGAAGTCGAAGCCATGTTGAAGAATCGTGTTGGAAACATTGTAAATGTTCCTCTATCGTATGATGTTGTTTTCACCAGAGACTAAAAATCAGAGACTACAAACCAAAAAAACATATTTACTGTGACAGCTATATACTGGTGATGTGTTAAATTTGAACAATCCAAAACGTAAAGACTTTGTCTGTGAGATATATCCTGTTGTGCTGGAACTGAAAAAGACTAATGAATCTAATATGAGTGCACTTATCCTGTTCTCATTAAGTTAAACTAAACAATAGTGCATGTACCTATATGACAAGAGAGATTATTTTAATTTTGACATTTTTATTTTCCTTTTATAGACAGAATCATTCCACTTAAACAACATTTTTTACCTGCCTAGTACCTGTATTATATAATAATAATTGAATGACTTTTGTGATTTTTATGTTTTCAAATATTTCTAATTAACTTTAGTTTCTATAGTAACATCTGTATTGTGATATAAGAGTGTACTTTGCTCTATTTTTAATAATTGGTCACAAAGTAACAATCTCGGGGAGTTATCTTCCATCATGACTAATGCTCCTTCCCACTACTCAAACTGCCCATACTACTCTTGAAGAATCTGGGTTCACACACGTTGTAAATGCCCCGTACTAACCATATAATATTCACTACATGGAGCATCATTAGCCTTCACAACGTTTGGGTGTTGAAGTATCATCATACGAGAAGTCATAAGTTTGATTCTATAATGGGACTGATTTCAACAGCTTGAGCAAATCTTCAAGGGATACCAAAGGGAGGACTGGAAAGCGTCTTATTGGACTAGGTTTGTCAACAATGCATGTGCATGTCCAGGCTAATGGAAACACTTATAAATGAAATGATTCTTTCAGCAATGAAGAATACTTCTGAATAAATGACTTCAACAGTACTGCTCTGCCTCTAGTGCAAGTAGTTTGAAGCAACCATCCAGGCAAGATGAATATGTTTTGCAGTAAACTTTCAGATTAACATCAGTTAAAATTTGCTGACCCGCGGACCACTCTTACTTTTTTATAATTACAATTAAATAGATTGTAGAAGTGATATATATATATATATGAAACATTGCCTGTAGAGTCAGAATTATGCAATCTACACCTGCTGCAAATTTTACCTCAAATGGTTGAGAAATCTTGAAATGACAGACCAATTCTCAGAACTTAATGATCACCCTGTATCTATGATGTTACAAGATTATTCTAAATGGCTTTGTGATGATATCCAGGTGTGCTAAATGATGCGGTTTCTATGGTTATGCAATTTAACGAATTCTTTACCTGTAAATACCTGTATTTCATAATGGTCTATCTGTTCTATTGTTTTAGTCTTTGATGTCATAATTATAGGAACAGTTTTCAGTTGCTTAAAAAGATTTAAAGAATAAATCGAAATATTGCAAAACTAAATCAAAAAACTTATTTTCCGAAAAAGTTGAAAAAAATGAAATAAAAAATATTTTCTTCACGACAAAAAGATAGTTCAACTGTCTCGATTATACATGACGTTTTGAAAGAGCATAGGGATAGATTCACAGTATCGTTCTTGCGAGTTTCAAATGAAAATATTAAAAAACGCGCGTGTATGAGGACAGTTTTTATGTCTACACTGACAAAAACTTAAAATATCCGCTGTAAAGATGTAGTCCAACGCGGATGTGCACGTCATAAAACTGATGGATAAGGCAATTTGCCGCCCCACTGAGAGGATTGTCATGACGAAAACCCACGCATATAAAGTCATAGTAATGGAAACATCCGTTCCCTCTCGGAAATAGATTTATTCAGAATACAACTGATATGATACAAATCAAAAACGTCTTTATCAATGTATTTTTGTCATGTATGCAAGTCATACTTTTTTCAGTTTTTTTTTTATTAAAAATATCTATTCTCTAAAATTAAAATCAAATACATAATAACACTTGCCACTTTTAATAAGTGTATCAGCGTGAAAACCTTTAAATATTAACCTGAGTCATGGAAATGAGAAAAAAAGAACAATTTAAAATATTTACTCAGTTAAATGTGAATAAAATTGATAACAATATATAAAATCTACATATACGTTTGTCAGTAATTCAGTTCATCATAGGTTGATGTCATATGAATTTTAAAATTCTTTTTAAAACAGTTAATGGAAGGTAATGTTTTCAAAGTTGGCAGATTATTCCAAAGCTGAGCACCTGAATATTTTATTGAGTTTTGACCTATAATTGTTCTAAATTTTTTCATGTGAAGACAATTTTGGGTTAGGGTTTAGGGTTACGGTTAAGGTTAGGGGTGAAAAGCAATTTAAGCCACTATTTCATCAAGGGGTAGGGGGTTTCGGTTTGTGTATGCTATTTTAGGAAGAATTCAAAATGTTCTTTAAATTTTCGTCAAATTTGCTGCATTTTTATCTCGAGAAAAAATTAAGCAATTATCGCCCACTACTGTTCATCTATAAGGGCAATATTTTTACGAAATCAAAATCGAATCTCATTTTCTAATCCATCAAATTGTAGTTGAAAATGGTGCCAATGAAATGTATTTGGTTTAAACCCAGTATTTTTATCTTGAGAAAAAAATAATCAATTATCGCCCACTACTATTCTTTAAATTTTCGTCAAATTTGCTGCATATTTATCTTGAGAAAAAATGAAGCAATTATCGCCCACTTCTGTTCATCTATAAGGGCAATATTTTTACGAAATCAAAATCGAATCTCCTTTTCTAATCCATCAAATTGTAGTTGAAAATGGTGCCAATGAAATGTATTTAGTTTAAACCCAGTATTGATATCCCCAACATCTGTGAAGCTACGAATATTGATACATATGTACAATCTATGTTGTTAGTTTTCCGTCTTATTCGTAACGTAAGAACAAATCACGTGATTAAATTGTATATTGACATTTATTTTATGTCGCTTCTAGAAAAGTACCACCCATATCCAAGTATCGATAGCTTGTTGTAATGATGGTCGTCTCGTGATGCTTTGGCCCTGGTTCGAGTCCTTGTGGATGTTTATTTTTTATTTTGAATAAAATCTGAAACTTAAGCAATTATCGCCCACTACTGTTCATGTGTAAGGGCAATATTTTTACTAAATCCAAATCTAATCTTCTTTTCTAATCCATCAAATTGTAGTTGAAAATGGTGCCAATGAAATGTATTTGGTTAAAGCCCAGTATTGATATACGAAACATCTGTGAAGCTACGAATAGTGATACATATGTACAATCTATGTTGTTAGTTTTCCGTCTAATTCGTAACGTAAGATCAAATCACGTGACCAAATTACATATTGACATTTATTTTATGTTATTTTATAAAATTACAATCCATATCCAAGTTACGCAAGGGCTTATTTAATACCCGGGGCTTAGTTGTGTACCAAGCGAAATGAGAAACGACACGACATCCGGGGCTTTGTTAGGTCTTCATTACAATAGTATCATGCTTATTGTTAATTGGCTAATTCAAATCGGATGCGGTAAAAAACCGAACGCCAATTTGCGAACGATCCGGGTATTACGTTCGCCCTTGAGTTACGATAGCTTATTGTCATGATGGTCGTCTCGTGATGCTTTGGCCCTGGTTCGATTCCTTGTGGATATTATTTTTTTTTTTTTTTAAAAATCTGAAACTTAAGCAATTATCGCCCACTACTGATATAATACAATCAATTAAATTTATTATTTATCTCGCAATAATCGTTAATTCTTCTAGGTCATTAGACCATTAAAGTACAATTAAAATTGCTTCATTTGCGCATACGTGGTTAGCACGATATGTACGAAATTCATTATGATGACATACGCATGCGTTTAAGTTAATAACTCGCTTACTATTGATGGTTCAGCCGTGAAACATATACCAAAATGAAGCTCCCATTGCCTGCTACACGACCAAAGCTCAATATTATTCAAATAATTCCTCAGCAGGCAAAAGTGCGTCTTTTGCGCGTACGTGTTTCCAAAATATATAAAAATTCATTATGATAAAATACTCATGCGTTTAAGTTACTAACTCGCTTACTATTGATGGTACAGCCGTGAACCATATACCAAAACAGAGGTTCCACAGCCTGCTACACGACCAAAGCTCCATATTTTTTAAAGAATTCAATGGCAAGCAAAGGTGCGTAGTTTGCACATGAGTGTTAATTATCACAATATATAAGAAATTCGTTACGATAATGTACGCATGCGTTCAAGTTAATTACTCACTTACATTCATGGTACAGCCGTGAACCATATACCAAAGCAGAGGTTCCACAGCATGCTACACGACCAAAGCTCCATATTTTTAAAAATAATTCAACATCAAGCAAAAAATAATTGTCTGCTATTTTGTTTAAATGAACATCCATTTGATGTTTAAAAATATTAAAGAATTTTAATGTAGATTGCATTTGAGTTGTACTAGACGTGATAAACATATACATATCAAACAGATGAAAGCATTGGGCACATTTATTTTGTACAGACTTTCGCCTATATAACTGAATATAATTCAACATATCATGAATTCATTCAATTATATAGTTTCCAGGAAACACCACGAGGAGGTATCTGTACTTTGTTTCCCACCGGACCCTTAAAACATCATAACATTATCCGATAATAATGAAATTTAATATGAAATTGTACTGTATTCCGATATTGTATTAACAAGGCGGATAAAAAGTAAATTGATATCATTTTAGTATTACAAATGAAATGTCAACGTAATGTAATAAGCCTTTCTGTGGAATTACAATGTATTCCTCCCTTGTGTTGGAAGGGGGAATAAATAAATAAATTTCATTAAATATTTAATAATTTCATTGGTTCATTAATCATCACTCATATAAATAATAATTTCATTGGTTTATTATTAATTAATTTCATTTGATAAATATTATTTCATTTTATTTCGTACATTGATTTCATTGCATTCTACAATTTACAAGGAACCAGCCTTACGTTTCTGCTCCACACATTTAATGCAGAGCGATTTATCGGCGCCCCGCGCAGGGAAGTGATACTCCAAAAAATGATGCATGCAATACCCGTGCCCGCACGTACATTTATATTCTTTCTTTTCGGTTTTGTTTAGATGACACGCGCAAATGACACACCTTTGCCCATATTTGGGTTTTGGTATGTCATTCGGAGGTGGGGGTGGCATAAGACGCCTTAACCTTGTTTTGATCGCCTTTTCGGAATAGCACATGCGATATACGCGAGCGTGAGTCGACATGATTGATTGCTAAGCTCAGTAAACGAGGTCGAATACAGGCGTTTTCCTACTGACGTTAACAAAAAGCAGTATAAGGTTAAGTTTTTGTTCAGATTTCACAATACAATTAAGTTAATAAATTGTTGACTATAAAAGGTTCAGGTGTGAAATATATACCAAAAT